TTTCCGTTGGATTTGGAGATTTTTTCTTCAATCTTGGTGCTTAAGAAGCAAGCGGGTCCCCTCCCCGGGCGTAGGCGGGCATACTACCTGTCTCCTCGCCCGGGTTTTAAGCTTTTACATGAGCTCCCCAACAAGGTCCCAGCATGGAAGCGAGACTATTTCGGGGTGCGAAGTGTGCTGGGGTGTGGCCGTTTCAGACCGGGTGGGGGATGGTCTTTCCTGACTCCGGGGTCACGCTTGACAAAGAGACGGCGAAGGGCCTCCGACAATGGGCGCGGCTTGGGCTGATGTGTCAACAGTATCTGACGGAGGCCAAGCTTATTGTTGCTGGCCAGAGTTCGGGTAGGTTCTTCACTTAGAGATTCTGTTTTGCTGTCTTTCTTGCTTTTTACTGATGTCGAACTTCTTTTCACAGGTGTGATGGATTCTCGAGGGACCCGGGGTGGGCAATTGTTCCAAGGCATGAAGAGGAGAAAGCGGGTTGCCAAGCGAACTCGCACCGAGATGCCCCAGGATGCGGAGCCCGAGGTGTCGGACTATCTGCCAGAAGATCTGCCCAGGGAGCCCGAGATGGTTCCTCCAATGCAGGAGCCGGCAGGGGGCCCTTATGCTGAGACTACCTACACAGGGGCTCCTACATACTCCGGTGCTCCTGCTTACTCCGGGTCTGCTCATACGAGAGCTGGGCCCTCGGGCTCGGGGGCCCCAGGGGATTTCAGGAGTGTGTTGTCGCCGACCCATGCTCTTCAAAAGAGTAAGGAGGCTATTTTCCCCGAGGAGGTCGCGGCGTGGACTGATCTCCCTCTACTTCAAGTGGCTTGTCATGCCGTTACCCATGGCATGGTGGTAAGTGTTCTCCTTTTTTTAGAGCTCTTTGGCTTTCGTTTTGTTGGTTCTTTTGATCACTCGGTTCCTTTTGGTAGGTGAATTCTTCTATTCACGCCTTGGCGGCTCAGGTGGAGAGGAGCTCGAGGCAGGTGCGAGTTGCCAAAGAGGCTCGTCGCGCTGCTGAGGAGGCTGCTCGTGCTGTCGAAGAGACTGCTCGTTTTTCACGGATCAGGCAGGCGAGGTCTCAGAGAGATGCCGAGGCCATGGGAGTGGTGGTGAAACAGATGGCGGA